GAGCTTAATAAGAAACTTGATAAGTTGTACGTGGCCCTAATTTTGAAGAGTGTACATCTTGATTTTGATCATGTGCATAATCAAATCTTGGCAGATGATCAGGTTTCTTCAATGTATAACTTAGTCACTAGGTTTATTTGTGTACCTAACTTGATGAAGGATGAAAGTCAAGTTGAAGTTATTGAATCCTCAACAATGATTGTACCACATGGACGAGGAGGAGGATGCAATAGTCAAGAAGGATGTGGTAGTAAAAGTGTACATCCTCAATGCTCCTATTGAAAGAGAATGGATCATACATGGGAAAATTGTTATTCCTTGTATAGATTTCCTAACAAAGTTGTCCATGTTTCTAAATCTAAAAAATTAGATGTTAAGATTTCTAATGAAGATTAGCAAGAATTTCTTAGGTTCAAATCTAAGAAGTTTAATTAATCTTCTTTAATGTCAAGTGTTTCAACAATATATATTTCTCAATATATGGAATGTCAAAATCTATGGATTCTTGATTCAGGTACTTTTGATCATATCTCTAGTAACATTTCTTCTTTTTCCTTCATGTCTTATCCTAAAATCCTTACTTGGTTATTGTGACTAATGGATCCAAAGTGGCATCTCGAGGAGTTGGCCAAGTTTTTTTATCCCCTTCACTAAATTTAAACTCTATTCTTTTTATTTCTAATTGTCCTTATAACTTAATTTCTCTTGACTCACCAATTGAATTGTTTTATAACCTTTAATTCTAACTCCTTTGTTATTCAAGAACATGGTATGAGTCATGTGATTGGAAAAGGACATGAATCACGTGATTTTTATTATTTGACTCCAAAAGTCCTTTTGTGCCGTGTCTTACTACTCTTGCTCCAAAACCTTGCAAGATAATTTGGGTCATCCAAGTTTATCAAAGTTGAAAATGATGATTCCTAATCTTAACAACTTCAAGTCTTAGAATATGAATTTTGTTAGTTACGAAAAACATGTTAGGTCTACATTTCCTAAACACTCTGAAACTCAATGCAACTTTCCTCTGTCCAAAATTCATTATGATATTTGGAAACCAAGTCATATCTCCACTTTTGGATTTTGATATTCTATAACCTTCATTGATGAATTTTCTAGATGAACTTGGGTTTACTTAATGAAAGATAGATTTAAATTTTTATCCATATTTGTATCTTTTTTTAATGAGATTAAGAACTAAACTGAGAAGATAAAAAAAAAAAAAAAAATCTTCAAAAGTAATAATGCTAAAGAATATTTTCTGCTATATTTTCCTCTTTTTTATCTATGGATTTTACACCAACCTACATGTCCTCACATCCCACAACAAAATGTTATAGCAAAAAGGAAGAATAACAACTTTTAAGACTACACACTCTCTGATGTTGAATGATAATGTTCTTGTTCATCATTGGAAAGATGCAAACCTCACTGTTTGTTTTCTTATCAATAGAATGTTCTATTCTTTTCTTAAGAATCAAAATCCTCACTTTCTTATTTTTTCGGATGCTCCCCTTTATCATGTGTCCGCACAAGTATTTGGATGTATCTATTTTGTTCATAGTTTCTAAAGATCAGGTCTTGATGAAACTTAGTGGAATGGTCATTAAATGTGTTTTCTTAGGGTATTCTTGCCTTTAAAAAAGATATAAATGTTATTCTCCTTCAATTAAACTAGGTATTACATGTTTGTTGATGTTATCTTCTTTGATAACACACCCTTATTTTCTTATCCCATGAAGAGTGTTTCTCCTATTCAACAAACTTTCCCTATACCTTTGTATGATCCACTTACAATACCTACTCCAACTCAACCTAGAGGTAACACTACTCCAACCCCTCTTTTCATATTTCAACAAACCTACTTCTCTGCATGTAACTGAAGACCCTTATGATTCAAATTCTCCTCCACCAAATTTCCATAACATGGATTCTTCATCATCATCCTCTACTTCTAATTTTACCTATAGTTTATCTATTGCTCTCAGAAAAAGTACTCATTTTACTCATAATCCCTTTTCGATTAATAGTTTTTTAAGTTATTATCATTTGTCTCCTTCATATTCTTCTTTTGTTCTTTCCTTGTCTAGTACTTTTATCCTTAATACTGTACATGAGAAACTTATATCATCAGGAATGCCAACAAGCCATAATTGATGAAATGTAAGTTATTGAACACAATGACACTTAGGAGTAGGGATGTCAAAACAGGTCAGCTGCCTTGTTTTGGGCCACCCTACCTCTAGTCCGCCAAAAATTGGACTGACAGGCTAACCCGCTATAGTCAAGATGAGCTATAGACCCAGCCAGCTCTGCCAATAATTTATTTATATAAAAGTTTTCTATATGTATTTTTTTAAAAATATATATTTAGTTATATAAATAATTTTTAAGATTTCATTTATTAATTAATATTTTTATTAGATAAGTTGAAAGATTATTATATTTATAGGTTAAAATTACTAATTATAATAACTAATTTAAATTTAATTGATGAATAACATAACATAAAAATATAATATTTATAATTGTAATTTTTTAATATATAAATATTTTTTTTAAATAGACTAGCCTGCCCCACCCTTGGCTCGTTGAATTTGCGGGCTAGGTGAGGCGGGCAGAAACGAGCGAGCAGGCTAACCCGTCGGACCTAGCCCATTTTGTCATCTTGGCAAAAAGGTTGTAGGTTGTATATGAGTGTATGTAGTTAAGGTTGGTCTTCATGGTGAAATTAACAGTCTCAAAGCTCACTTAGTGACTAAAGACCACACTCAAATTTATGATCTTCATTATTGTGATACATTTTCTCCTATCACTAAGATTTTCACTGTCCAACTCTTGCTTGTTAAGGTTGTTATTCGTCATTGGCTATTTCACCAACTTGACATTAAGAATGTCTTTCTTCATGGTGATCTTAAGTAAGATATTTATATGGAGCAAGCCCCTAGATTTGTTGCTTAAGGGAAGTCTGGTTTAGTGTTTAAAGTCATGGCTTAAAGTAATCACCCTAGGATTGATTTGGTAAATTCAGTCACATTGTGCACATTTTTTGTTTGAAAAGTGTGGCAGATAATTCAATGTTTTATTTTCATACTACTTCAAGGAAATGTATTTATACGATGATTTATGTTGATGATATTGTCATTACAGGTAATGATTCCATTAAGATCAACCAATTGAAGAAACATTAGCTTTGTCACTTTCACATCAAAGATCATAGTTACTTGAAGTATTTTCTTGGTATTGAAGTGGTTCAATCAAAAGAAGGTGTGATCATCTCACAATGGAAGTATGTTCTTGATATTTGGAAGTAGACCGATTTAACAAATTGCAAACTTGTTGATAGCCCGATGAATCCTAAAAAAAAGTAATAGGAGTCAGAGGTAAAATCTTCTTAGACCCAGAGAGATCTAAAAGGTTGGTTGGAAAACTCATCTATCTCCCTATTATCATACTAGATTTCTATTATGCAATTGGAGTAGTGAGTCAATTTATGCAAATTCCTAGCATTAATCATTGAAATGCCTTGATTTACATTCTCAGATATGCAAAAAAGATTCCAAGACAAGGATTGTTTTATGAAAACAAATGTAATACTCAGATCTCAGGATATTGCGATGCAAATTGGGTTGGTTGTCCCATTGATAAAATATATACTACTGGGTATTGTGTATTTATTGGAGGGAATATGATTTCTTGGAACAGTAAGAAACAACGTGTTGTTCAATCTAGTGCAAAAGCTGAATATCGCTTCATGGCTCTTGCTACATGTAAACTTGTGTGGATCAAACAACTCCTTAAAGAATTGAAATTTTGAGATGATGACTATATGAGGTTGTATTGTGATAATTGTTAAGTGGTAAAAAATTGATATAATTATACTTTGAATTGTTATGAAATCACTTAACTTATGTTAATTCTAATCTATTTTTCTCTCACTATAGGATGAATTCGAGAATACCTTGATACAAGAGTAAGGAGCATAATTGTCAACATAATTGGAGCAAAACTGAAAGGAGGAAGAAGATTTTCAGCATGGAAGTCACTCGAGCGAAATAGACTCTCGCTTGAGCGAATATAAGTTATCCTTCTCTGGAAGTCAGTCGCTCAAGCGCTAGTAAATTCGCATGAGCGAATATTAATTATTCGTCTCTGGAGCTCACTCGCTCAAGCGAACGATTTGTCGCTTGAGCGAAAATAAGGAACTTTCGCTTAAGCGAGTGTTATCGCTTGAGCGAAAGACGCGAAAACCAAAGCCCAATTTCTCCTACAAAAAGATAAGACGAGTTTTGAGAGGGGGAAGCGATTTTGGGGAGAAGAGGCACGACTACTACTAGGATTTCGTCCAATCTTCATCAATTCTTCACTTCTTTCACATTTGGAGCATTGTAATGGCCAACATAAGTGACTAAATTCATTCACTTGGGATTTGATGCACTTCCTTTGAACTCTTTTGTATCATGGTGATATTTTGAGATATTAAACTATGTTTTGATGTTGTTATTCTTATCCTTTGTGCTTTGGAATGATTTATTCTTGATGTTTGGGATATGATTAAAAAATATATCTTGAACCCTAGATCACGGTAAGAATATTTGTTACATTAATTGCCAGGAATGGAATGAATGTATCAATTGCTTAATACCCTAAACCTAATGCTGGAAAATCTCTTAATTGTGTGAGGAATCAACATAGATGATTTGAGTAGGTGACATCAACATTGTTAGGTTAATTGATGTTCTTAATTGACATAGCCATTACAAAAGAGGGAAAAGGAAGGAAATCAATCCTAAGTGTCTTTACTTGATATTTTTTAAACAATTTACAGTTGTTTGTCATTTAATTTCAATTTAACTCTTGATGTAAAACTCATTCTGTTTTAATCCACTTAGTAAGCATATAATTGAGAATTTTCATTGAAACCGTTCTTCGTGAGATCGACTTTTATTTAATCGAAATACTATACTGCAATTGATAATTTTGGTACGCTTGCCAATAATTCAACAATAATCAAACGGAGATAGAGACCAACGCAGATAGAGACAACTAGTGTAGTGGCAAGCACCAAGAGCACAGGCGGGGTAACAAGTAGCCAGCGACAAGCGATGAGCTGCAGTGAGTGATGTGCTACAAGCGACGATCAACAACATGCTACGAGCGACAGCAAGCGATGTACTGCAAGTAGTGACAAGCAATGTACTGCAAGCAGTGACAAGCGATGACACACAGCGAAGAGCGGCGAGCATAGACGAACAACACGAATAACAAGCAAAAACGCAGATCCAATCGTGTCAAACTTGGTGTTGTTTTCCCTTTTCTTTCAAACCTGTTTACTCTTGTCAGACTCGCGAGTTTGATTTGAGTCTGCCGAGCTCACTGAGTTTGCACCGAATCTATTGAAAAATGAGTCTACTCACGAGTTAACTCGTGACTAGTAACTGAACTCGCAAACTCGTCCAAGTTAGCAAGTTGACCCGCAAGTTTGATAACCAATGTATTAAGAAACATTCCTTTTGTCCATGTTCAGAACCAAATCACCCTAAATTTAAGGAAGGAAATTGGTTCAAGTATCGTGTTGCGTTTATGCTTCATTTAATTCCTAAAATATGAAGATGGAGTGATGACCAATACACCAAAAAAAAAATAACAAATACCTAATTGACTATGCACTACTTTAAATAACATACTTGGAATATTTTTTTTTTAGCGCCTCATCCAAATGTTGACCATCTCCATACCAACATCTATTAACATCACTCTTCACCTATGAAAGCATAATGATTCCTTGATACATTTAATGTTCAAAACCACCTGGTTAGACAGACAAGCAGTGATTAGATTAGATTTGAGTGACTAGGGGGAAAATTGAAACTAATGGTAATAGAAAAAACATATTAAAAACTATTGACGGACTTGATATTAAATGCCTAGTATTACTATTTCTATAAACGAACTATTTGATATTAAATGCCTAATATTACTATTTCTATAAACGAACTATTGCTTAGCAGATGTACATATGTATGCCATTAGCAATTTTGGCATAATCTGTAGATGCTACACAAAATGAACTTTGTACTACAAGATTTGTGATAGATATATATCAGTTTGTTTAACCATAGTCCAAAAGAAAATTGGTAACATGACAGAAATGAACAACAAATGACTTCAATGTAGTTAACATCCTATATCTAAAATTAATCGATATATCATATCTAAATAATAGCACGTATATGGTTTGACTCATGTATATCGGCTATCTATTGAGCCGATTATACATGGAAACAATGATAATTCCACACGTCACATTGAAACCAACCTAGACGGTAAGCATGAATCTATGAGATTACCTGTTTAAAAATTGGAAGTTTCCCTCAACCTTTAAGCATCTACACATGCTGGCATGAGCTCTGCATGTCACAAAAACGATAGTTCAATGAATGAATATTAACAATATAAAGAGTACTTGACTAACAGGACTATCTAACCAAAACACCAATCCACAAAAATAAACATGAAACAACACATGAACACTATAAGGACAGGGACCTGGCATGGTCTTTTGTACACGATCAATAATAAATTTATTTACATTAGTCAAACTTTCTTCACCTTGAGTGGCATTCAAATGATCCCAAGAAGGAAGTCATGCTAAAATTATAACTGAACATTCAGACCGAGGGAGAAGATTAAAATATGTTGCCCAAACACAGTAGCTTTATGAAACAATAAAATCAACGTAAAAACAGTAGCAATTATGTATTATAAGAAAACAATGAATAAAAAAGAAGTGAGATGAGAATCCAACAACTAGATCAACCACACAAAATTAATCCTGCAACCATTAACCATATTCTGAGAATAAATAACCTGTCAACTAGGTACAACATTTTAAGCTGTCAGGGTAAGGACAATCATGTAAAGCAGTGAATCAATAAGCTAAGATGAGGGACATTAGTCAAAACTGGCAACAATATACAATAGCTCCATCAAAGAATAGGGAAATATTATGAACAAATCACCAATGCCCCACCATATTTCATTCGTGCCAAGACAGATTCTTAGAAATCACGTTTACAAATAACAGTGTGAATCTATTCACCACAGAGTATATATAATCATATAATTCAATATTCATTTTTTTGAATACTTTCACAAAATAATAATATAAAAAGTAAAGTACAACACTATTGTCTCATACTATGTACTATTATATGTATTCTCAAAAATATATATATTCATCTCGATTCTCTGGTATTGTCAAGATAACAAGAGAAGTTTGTTAGAAATGGCGCATAGTAAGTTTTGAAGTAACTACTGGACACAGTTCTTTTTCACAAAGGAAAAACTCGAGGCTATTTGGTCTGAAAAAATTATTTTGAATTGTTATTTATTGTTTTAACAGACAAAATTTCATAGTATATATAATTTGTTTCTTAATTTCATATACATCATTCTTATACAAACAAAGTTTTGAAAATAGGTTACAGAACACTCTGGTAATTATTTGTGGTAACAGGGAATGAAAAACACTTACCAAATTTGGCCCCATAACTATTCTTAGCTACCTATAAAGAAAGTAATGCCAGCAGAATATGCTGATACAGTTAGAGAAAGAAAATTCGGTACAATATAATAAAATTTAAATGAAACTTTCATCTCCAAATGCATTTAGACAACACATCCAATGTCCGATTGGTTTCCCTTACGCATGAATGAAAAACACCTCCTTGCATGGCATATGTCTGCCAGGCAGAAATAACCTGTCAATTATTTATCTCAAAAATATTCTTCAAATTATTCCTCATCCATTAACATGTTTCCCATACAAAATTTCTAAACTGTGGACCCATAAGTAACTCCCACACCTCCTTATTCCTATAACAGTCTCTGTAAAATAGATTCAAGACGTGTCATACCCACTGGACAGCTTGCAGAGTCACTCGTATTAAGTATAAGATTACGCTCATTCATTAGAAACTATCTTTCAAAACCTTCTAAAAAGAAAACCAAATCCTTTATGTGACTTTCAGCTGCCAAATTAATTATAAATCAAATTATCATCTCTTCTTATTCTATCAATTAAAGATAAGTAAGCATTTTCAAGAAACAACATCTCTCCAAATTACTGAATCATTTTCAAATTCAGTAATATTTCAAAGTTTCACTCATCCTTTAGACCAACATAATCTGTCAGTACCTTTTGCATTCCACTATTTTTGAATGTCAGATTCATTTAAGCATGAGAAATAAAAATTCCCTTTTTCAAAAATTGTCCAACCATAATTGAATGAACCTTTGGCTTTTTAATCCAGAGAACTGCGGAGAATGCAGTGGGTGGCGCAGATGAACAGAAGGGGACTCCGTGTCGCAGAGATGAACGGCAGAAGACTCAGTGCTTTGCCAAGGTAAACTACAGTAGATGCATAGGAAGGTGAACGACAGAAGATGTGAACCCTAGACTATGCGATGCAGTGTCAGATGCCATGTTGGAAAGGAGGCGGGAAGAAGACGCACAGGTGAGATAGAGGTAAATGAAGAAGACGCCACCCAGGGAGACGTGGAAGAGAAAAAAGACGACTGCCCAATAGAGATAGTCGCACACTGTCTCCCTGTGTAGGGCTTCTTTGTGCAATGTGCAAGAGTGAGATGATAAACAACTAAATTTTACTAGTAAGGTATTATCAAATTATTGTTTATTACTTTGATATTTAACCACTAAATTGTTATATGAAATTTGATTTTACGAATTAAGTTCATCACTGAAATTTTTCAGTTAAGTTTATCAGTCAAGTTCTTCAATGGGGTTTATCAGTCAAGTTCTATAATAGAATTCATCGTTAAACTAAACACAAAAACAATACAAGAAAAATATAAAAGACTAAACTCGTAAGAGAGGTAATGCTAGCCACAACCAATGAAATCTCAAAATCTCAGAACATATATAATGATTGTCATGAAGTAAAAAATTAAAATAAATTTAATATACAAATCATTATATATAAAATGAATAAGATAAAAAAAGCTAACATGACCACTTTATTAGAGGAACATTCATATGCACTATCATGTTTTTGTTAATATTTATGTTATTATGAACACCCATGATACATTAGACCTGTTAAGTTAGATATATACTTGAAATGATAAGAAATGTGATCACAATTGTAAAATTTTTATTAAAAATGGTAATACTAACCATGAATATTCAACATGCTTGCTTCAGTTAACAAGCTTGCGAGAAACCTTGCTACTTTTTCTTAGTCCTGCATCCAAGATAAAAATGAAATACACTTTTTAGTTTGCACATGTTGAGCATCAATTATAGAACACATAGCTATAATTCGACCAACATAATTCATAGATGTTTACTTACATGTTCTCTTTGCCAACCATTGTGCTTGCTTCAACAACAAAAAAAATGTTGCACTCACAATGGCAAATAACTGCATGCATGAACATGGCTTAATGCAAATGAATTGGACAATAAAAAGTGTACATTAAAGTTGTTAAATTCCAGAAAATATCACATACGAATTATGGCATGTTTGGACAAACAACTTCATAAAAGTTTCTAAGAAAGAAAACTAAGATGAAAAAATAAAATACATTTCTACATAAGTATAAAATTAATTTATACACAAATTTAAAATAAAAATTTTAAAAACTTACATGAGAGTGTTTCTACAACCTAGCATAATATATCTTACGAAGAAGTAATTTCATTTTAATATTTTTCTTATATTAGAAGTACCATATTTAAAACCCCAACTACAATTCACCTCAAATTTAATAAAAAAAATCACTAGAAAATGTATTTTTCAATCTCATCCTTCTTTTTTTAGAACAAAAACAAACCATTTTTTATTATAGAACTTCCACCCTTTACTTTGATATATGCATGATGAATTTGTTTTTAACTTCCTAGAGCCCAAATCATAATGGTTTATTCATAAAAAAATATTTTTGAGAATTACCTTCCAACAATAATGCACGTTGAAATCAATATGTTCTAATTTCCAAAATCCCCTAACCATTGTTGTCCAAAAATTTAGGCTTGATTCTCACGTCATGAGAATATTTCTCTATACATTAGAAAAACATATGTCCACTATTATAATAGGAGACACTCTAAATTCTTCCAAGATCCAAATTAACAACAAGTAATCTATTTTTTGTTTTGCAACAAGAGCATTTATTTATTTATTTATTTATCAAACCAAGTCCTTACAAGATTTTTTGAAAAATAAAATTTAAAGTACGAAATTAAACTTCTTAAAATGTTGTGTAAGTGAATACTATTGTGCGAGAAAGAAATAAGATATAAAAAGATAATATCATTTAGTAGTATGTAATGCTAATAAAATTATTGCAAAACTTAAGACAAAATCTATATACCAAAAAACCATCATTTTATCTTCGTTTTCACGATCTTGTGCTATTAATTACTTGTTTACAACTAGGATAACTTTGAATCATAGTTTATAAAAAGGATAGTAAAGCAAGCTAGGCCCCAGTCCCAACCAAACAAGGGTGGGGTGGGATGGACTAACACATTAACCCATTTTTAAAAAATATTTATATAATTAAAATTAAAATAAGAAATATTATAATTAAAAAATATTTCACTTTTTTGTTTTATATTGTTGAAATATGTAAATATACTATAATATTATAATTTAAATTATAAATACTAACCAATTAAACTTAAATTATTGATTATAATAGGATATTTGAACACATAAATATTATAATGTTTTTCATATATTTAATAAAATATTAATTAATGAATAAAAATTTAAAAATTATTAAAATAATTAAAGATATATTTTTAAAAAAATACATATAAATTTTTTTATATAAATAAAATACATTGACATATTACTCCCGTCAATTTTTTATAACTAAGAGACGAAGTGGCCACTTTTATCCATCCCTATTTATTACATAACGTGGGTAAAGAACTTCTGACAAGATAATATAATTCACAATCAATCATACCTTTTAGAATTGTGCCGTTTAAGTTGAACATATTTGCTTTTGATTTGATAACTTCACTTTTAATTGTTGCCAGATCATTCTCATTCTCATCCATCAGTGAGGGAGACACATTGGAAAAAACAACTTTAATCATCTCATTCTGCAACTTCTGTCTAAGAACCTTTTCCTATAGATAAGGTGCACAAAGGATTATGAATACAATGTAACTTCTGTCTAAGAACCTTTTCCTATAGATAAGGTGCACAAAGGATTATGAATACAATGTAACATCAATATAAACAGCATACCACCTTGTTTTCTATCACATTTTCATTACCTGTAGCAAACTTAATCTTCGCATCTTTATTTTTATTTTTTTTCATGATTGAAAGCTTCTCATTTTCTTGGACATATTAAACAAGTATTCAACTAGTTTAGACGATATTAAGACAATAAAAATTAGAAAGAAAGAAAAACAAAAATACAATATAGATAAAGTGGAGAACACAATAAAACAAAATAATACATATATATATATATATATATATATATATATTATAACTGGACTTTAAATGCTTATTTAGTGATTAATGCTTCATCACAGAGGAAAAATCAATTGTTTAAACTTTTTAGATATATTTAATTCATGATATCCATTAAGTTCTTGTCGAAGTCAATCTAAAGGAAAATCATGTAGTACATGATAAGCTTCCCTAATTAAACCTTCCAGGAGTTTAAAGTCATTCATATGAAACTTTTAATTCAAATAATCATAGAAAAATTAATCACCCTAGACCTCTAAACTAATAAAGAAAACACCCTAGAACCCTAAACTAATAAAGAAAAGTTGAGGGTATAACTTACTCACTTCTCGAATCATTTAAAATAATCATTAACAATTTCACAAGAAATTGAATTATTGAATTGTTATCTTGTGCATCCAAACATTTTTTATGTCCTAATCCTTTTAAAATAGTTTTGCACAGGAATAAATATGAAAACAATTGATAATATTATGAATGGCTAAAACATCAAGAATTATACTTGTAATTTATAGCAATAAATGTGAAGTTACAAATAGGAATAAATGTGAAAAAACAACCTAATATTATATTACAAACGACTGCAACATTATGAAAAAAAAAATTATATCATTAATAATAATATCATTACTTTTTTTAGAGTACATAATTTAAGGTAACAACAGAAAAATTACAGTGAAATCAAGACCAAGTACAAATCATCTAACACTTGATTATAAGTTACATGAAACATCTCAGTACAGCATTAAAGGAATTTTCCAATTATATTTATCAATCAGCCAACTAGAAAATGCGACAATTAATTTCAATTTATCAAATAAATCATTAAAAAAAATTGTTAACATGAAGCTGCTCACCTTGTTCCTTGGCAGATCGATATAGGGGACCAGTAGGTTATTCACCTTGTTTTTTCCTAGAAAGATAACTCCTCTTTCAGAAGAACTCATAGATACAATATTAAATCAAAACCCATAGGAAATAGAAAAAGAAACTCACCGACTGCAGTTGCAAAAGCCTCGGCACTTTGGACATATCCAATCACCCAACTGCCCCACCTCTTCTGCATTCTCTCCATACCTAATTCACCAACAGAAAAATCCTCCTAAGGGAAACAAATACATATACTCAGCTGAGAATCAGAATCTAATTCCTCCTAAACATACAACATGTTTAGTCCCCACATTTGGGGCATTGTTTTTCACATTTACAAAATCAATAACAGTAATAGTTTTCAGTTTTTAGCAAACTGAAGTTGTTTCTCGCATTGCAAGAGTGTCCAACATCCCATTATTTTGCAACTGGAGTTGAAACACAACCATAAATCATAAAAATGTGTTGCCTTTTTCGGGACGAAGCCACAGGTATCCCCACAATAAACAATCTTACTCAAGTTAGGTAGAACCACAACATACTTCATCAAAGTTATTCATGGTCCTACCCTGTTCAAACAAGATAGATAGTAGTCTCTCAGTCGGAATACCGGTGACCTGTTACAAAGAAAAGAAAATATATCGTTGCAAAATAACGGATCTTTAGACAATATCGCACATCAAAGAAGACTTTGCCATAAACATGGCCAAAAACAAGCTTAACATTACAAACATCTAAAATAAATAGAAATCCGAGATTTACATGGTTGAAACTAACCTGATCAAAAGGCATTTGTCGCAGAAGTTAATCGGACGGTTCTTCCCTTTCTTTATATTCTTGCATGTTGCAAAGAAGTCCTCTTTTTTTTGCCGACACTTCAAAGGGTAAAACCAATCAAACAAAAAATGTTATCATTCAAATAAACCCCAAAATCCAGAATCAAAAGAAGACACAAACTGAACAAAAACACAAAATCAAAATCACGTTCTTCCACCGTACCACCAACCAAAAATTCCCACATTCCCTGACTTACCCAAATTCAGATTTCACTCTCTCCACAAACCACCAAATTCCAAAATGAAACATAAAAGAATACGCATCGCGGAAAGACACTGAGAAAGTGGACATTAATAAGGGTGATGATGACTTCAACTTTTACCACTTATTTAAGAGAAAAGGAATTCCATCCTCGAACGGTGGGGTAAAGGAGCCGCTCACAGAAGTTGTC